TTAAATGCACTCTAGTGTCATTTATGGCAACCTCAAGTAGCATTGAATGAAGTCAAGAACAAGTCCAACTTCATTTACTACAAACTCAAGTTGCACTAATGAAAGTCTAAGTTAAACTCAAGATGCATTAAATGAACAAGACTTCAACGTAGTTCAAAATCAAGTTCATTCACTCTTGGAGGGTTACAACTTCTTGGTTTTATGGTGGAGGAGTTTCATTCTCGGATTTAAAGCATGTTTTTTTTGTGTATTTTCAGTTTTAAACATTTCATTTATGTGTTTTAAGTTACATTTGAGTTAGTGGTGGTTATGGTATTGATGTAGTAGGGAGTTACAACCTTTACAATTCTTTTAGGTTACTTGAAGGGTTGTTTTGGAGGCTATAAATAGCCTAGCTTGTTTCCTTGGAAAAACAGATTTTGATGATTGAATGATGTTGCTATTTTGCTTCAAAAAGCCTAGAGCTTGTTTTTCTTTGCAATTCTTGAGTGTTAGATTTGCATGCTAGAATCATTCAAGTAGTCTTGATCAAGCTATTTGTGGAGTGGTTCGAATCTTGAGTTTAGAAACAAGTTTTCTCTACTCTTGATATTGATCATCAAGGTAAATCCGTTCTAACTTTTTCCTTGGGTTGACATCATCTCGATTTGGGGGTTTTAGCATTTGTGATATAGGGGTTTGCATAACCATAAGGGTTCTTAGATCCAATTGGCTATTGTTTTCTTATCAAATCATCTAATGAACAATGATTTGTAGTCCAACTATCAAATCGAAAAAAAATCCTCTCAAACCTTTTGATGAGGGTGGCGCCAATTGTTCAAGACTTGGATTCAGCCCTTAAAAGAACAACCTTTCTACTATTCCAAAATTAGGTAGAAGTGAATTCCTTCTTACACCCTATGTCCCTAACTATCTACCTGGTCTTACCCCTGAAATGGGAGGTTTATTGAGCCAGCGCTGTTGAGCTGCTCTCACCCATGCAGATCTAAGGATATTCCCGAGTAAACAGAAGTTCATATATAGTTAGCTCAGGATTAAGATCGAGTTACCTAGGCCATCAAAATCGTGATAGTCAGTTTCAGACAGTAAACGGTGTTATAAATTAAAAGTGACTATCTCATGGTCCGGTCTTATGCAAACTCTTTGCACATGATGCCCCCACTCACATGTCTTTACATGAATGAATTAGGATCACATCGTTTATACTAGCTTCAAAGTGGGTTGCATCCATAGTGTCCCCAAAATAAGGCGCCCAACCTTATTCCTATACTATAAACCATTTAAACTATTAACTTAAACTTGATCCATATTTATATCTCTACATAAAGTTTGAGTCTCATGTAACAGTCTATGATCCTTAGTTTATTGGATTTAGATCTAGTAAGAACATTTTATTTGATTAATAACTACTTATTGATTATAACCTTCAATAACAACTTTATTGAATGATAAAAGTATATTTGGCACTTACAAACTATGTGTTTTTGGACATAAAACCCAATAAACTCCCACTTGGACTAAAACTCCAATGGTACATTTTATTGAGTTAACAAAACTCGTAGTCATAGACTCTCTAGGTGACCCTCAAACACTTTAGCCGATAGCGCCTTAGTAAATGGATCAGCAAGATTCTCTTCCGAGGCTATCTGAGTGACGACCACGTCTCTTACTATCTCCCTTATTATATGGTATTTCCGTTCAATATGCTTTGTTCAACTTATGGCTTCTAGGTTCCTTGGAATTTGCAATTGCTCCACTGTTATCACAAAAGAGAGTGATAGGCAGATGTATGTCTGAACGACTTCCAGATCAGTCAAGAATTTCCTGAGCCACACTGCTTCATTTGCTGCTTCACAAGCAGCTACGTATTCAACTTCCATTGTGGAGTCTGCACTGCAAGTTTGCTTTACACTTCTCCACACTACTACTCCTCCATTCAGAGTTAATACTGATCCCGATGTAGATTTTCTAACATCTTTATCGGTCTGAAAATCAGAGTCATTGTATCCAGTAAGGATCAGATCCTTAGCACTATACACGAGCATATAGTTCCTCGTTCTCTTAAGATACTGGAGGATATTCTTAACGGCAGTCGAATGATCATATCCTTGGTTGGACTGATATTTGCTGACTATCCCTACTGCATAGCATATGTCAGGTCTAGTACATAACATAGCATACATTAAGCTTCCAACAGCTGAAGCGTAGGGAATATGTCTCATCCCCTCAATTTCTTGAGGTGTCTTAGGACACTGTTCCTAGGTGAATTCCATGTCTAAAAGGTAATAAACCTCTTTTGGAATTCTGCATTTTATATCTAGGCAACATTTTGTCGATATAAGTTGCTTGAGACATGGCTAGTGTCTTGTTCTTTTGGTTCCGAACTATTTGGATCCCTAGAACATGTTGTGCATCTTCTAAATCTTTCATTTGGAATTGCTTAGCTAGCCATTGTTTAACGTCATGCCCTTGTGGTTAGAGACAGATGTCAATTACTCGCTAAACTAATGTTGCTATTAATTTTATACTTTTAAAAGCTTGTTTGACTTTTTTTTTCTTAACATTTTCACTAACTAATAACTTCTTAATTTGTTAATCTAAAAAAAAATTCTTTAAGTTCCAATCCAATATTTGAATTGGATTTGACAAATATTTCTTCGCAATCAATTTTAGTAAACCCGTATCCTAAAATATAATTACACATTTATAGATCAAACAAGAGGTAAGTTTTATCCCTTCCAACATTAGGTTGCTTCCAAATTTCACTTCCCAAACTTACCTTCTATAGAACAAAATACTATACACCACCACACCACCCCATGTACACATCCTAGATGAAAATGCCAAATCTTCATCGGGCACACCTGACAGGGTTAAACATGATTAAATCGTCCATTAACCCAAAAATTACTTACACATTAAGGTAAATTTAATCATTATTCTAAAGATACTGAATCAACTGCGATTCTATCCCATCGCCATTCATTTGGATTCCCGCATCTGAATGAGTATAGTCGGATACGGCATCGTTCAAGTCGAACTCTGAAGTCTCAGTAGACGTTAGAGAGCTTTCCATGGAGGACATTCTTGTTGTTGTTTTTCTTCTTCTTAGCACTCTGGCTTGTGCTGCAGAGTTGGTGAGTTCCGAGCTGTGGCATCCAGAGGAGACCATTGAGGCCAAGTGGGAGAGCTCCTCCTGCGCCTCCGCCAGCGCCTCCGAGCAACAGCCGTAGCCGGCGATTGTCTCTTGCGCCTTTCTCAGCACCGTCTGCAAATACTTCCCCTGCGCCTCTATTCTCACCTGCAAATGCCTCTGTACCTCTATTTGCATTTCCAGGCCCTCCCATATCTTCATCATTCTACATCCAAAACAAACAATTTCTTTTCAAATTTCTTCGTTAAGAATAATGAAATTCAAGAATGGGATGCCATTTCTCTTACTCCTTCTCGTTCTTGTTTTCAATCTGACTCCCGTCTCTGTTTCCTCTGTTCAAATGCTCCTCTTTTCTCTGCATCTCTTTTTATGTCAAATAAAATAGTTAGGCCTGTTAATAAGGAGATCGTGTGGAAAAGATAGTGATGAATTAAATTTGTTCTTGTGGATTATTAATAGTAACCTTCCAGCTTGAGTCGGCTGTTGGTTTCACACTGCTGGCCTTTTCCCAATCTGTATTTCTGGTTGTACATAGACAGAGCAGGAATTAATTCTTTTTTTTTTTAAATGGAAATTAGTTAGGAAGGTATAGAAGAAACAAAAAAATAAAACCTGTAAATGGCTCTTGAGGTGGTACAGAGTGAGTCCGGTTATTCCCATCGCTCTCATCAAGCCCTTCGGTGTGGCCTCTACAGAAATTTAAAAGAAAAAAATTATTGGAAATTAATAAATTAATCAGAATAAATAATGATTTGAAAAAAGAATAAAAAAAAGTTAAACTCAACTATCTGCTCCACCAAGCTGATTCACGGCCTCTACAAATCTTTTGTGAAGCTCAGGCGTCCATTTCAGCCTGGGTTTTGCATCTGTAGACAAAACCAAGTTCATGTTTTGATTCTGAATAGTTTTTATGTTTAGAAGAAGAAGAAGAACATGATGATGATGGAATTTTGGTGGGTTGATTAAAAAAAGGCAAAGAGAATTGAATTATTCATTTTCTTTGAATATCCTTAGGGGGAAGCAGGCCGTGGTTGGTTTCTGGTTCTCTTTATACTATATAAATTTTTGGTTGTTGCAATGTCCGATGTTCTCACTCCATATCTGGAGGAGACATAAGTGGGGCTATGTTATGTTGGAAGGGAATATATGCTCATGAGCTGTGACTTTCTTTCCGTTCTATTCTATTGCTTCCCGATTATATTATGTTGATACCATACCAATTTTTATTTTCCCAATTATATATATATAGTTTGTAATGGGAGGGTCTGAAAAACCCAGGCTGACTTCATTTTACTTCGATTACTGACTTATCATTAGATCACTTTAGGTGGGACACCATACTCGAGTTTTTTTATTGCAGGTTCATTTGCTCATCAACGACGCCCTGTTTTGAGGGACACGTGAACCTCTAAAAAACTTGATTATATATATATATTTATTTATTTATTGTAATTATGGTTTTTTTTTTTGTTTTCCTTTTCTTCTTTGACTTGAAAGGATGAGAGAATCTGAGAAAAACCGAAAGAAAGATACAGTGTTGTGAGGGAGTCTTAAAAGCAGAGAAAAGAGGAAAAAAAAGTGTATGGTTTGTTTTTATCTTGCTGTTTTCCTCTCTATTGATTCCTTTGCGAAGCCCCACCAACAAAAAACACCCCTCCCTCAGCTCCCATCATACACAACTCTGCTGATGCTCTGAGGATGAGAAGTTTGCTTTTAAAATATTGATTGCCAATTGCCATAATGGATATTTCTCTTTTCCCGATTGAAAGGGA